GTGGGGGGTTAGGGGTAGGGGTTGGGGGTGAGGGGTGGCAATCCCCTACCGGAAAGGACTGTCCTTAAACAGGGTGCTCTGGCTCCCCGCCACTGAGCTCCCGCCACTGCTGCTGCCGCCGTCATCGTCCCCCTGGGAGTAGCGGGTGAGGCGCTGGCTTCGACGAGACATGATGAGGTGGGATGGGGACCCGTCCCCTAAAGAGAGTCTTGGGAGAGAAAGGAGGGCCGGTGAGGCTTGGGGCTGTGCTAGACCCTACCTGGCGGAGGAGAGACAAAGCATTTTCGCCTTCAAAACAGCCAGCGATGTGGGAGACAGCGCTCCCCACCCCCCTGCAGCCCGCACCTGCCATGGGCTCACTCGGTGCCCAGGCAGCCTCTTTCCACCAGGTTTGCTAATTTTCAGTTTATCTGTCACTGAGCTCCGTGAGAGCCAGAACTGTCCTTCCGCAGCCTTCGGCATGTGGCACACGAGAGGCACAGGCGATGCTACATGAATGTCTCGATCACTGCTGCCCGCACAGACCCCCAGCCCGGCCTCTCCACTGCACGCCTCTCCCTAGAGCAGGGGCCACTCCCATCCTCGCCGTTTCTGGGGGGAACAGGCTTTCCTTTTCTTTCCTGTAGCTCTACTCATGGGCCAGGGCCCCAGACAAACGGACTCCAGAGACCTGTTCCCGCCCCAGCCCCCTGCGCTCTAACAGGGGCTGTACGCTGGGTCCCCTCGGCTAGTTACTGTCCCGCCACATCAGGACATCTCGTCGTCATGGTGATGATAAAACACTCAGTAAATGCCTCCTAGGTACCTGGCTCCTACAAATCCATTTCTGATCCTACAAGCAAGGGAGACATCATTAGTGCCATCGTACAGCGGAGGAGACAGGGACACAGCTGATGGGTGACTTGCCCACAGCCACCCAGCCCCTAAGTGACTGAGCCGGGTTTTGAGCTCAGGTCTGACGGGTGACAGGGCTGGCTCTTTCCACCCCACCGTGAAGCGTTCAGGTTGTTTCAGGAGTGTGGTGTGCGGCCCCAACTAGTGTCTCTGTAGCCTCAAATATGTTCCGAACAGGCTGTAGATAAAGTTGTTACACAACAGCTATTTGTTAACAAACTAACAAAGCGGGCAGTGGAGCAGCAGTGTGGGAACCAAGGCTCCATGACTGATGACGCAAGGGAGGCCCGGGTGAAAGGCCTGGCAAAAGGTGCTGCTCTGCGCTGGCCGGCGTGGCTCAGTGGAAAGAGCGTAGGCCTGCGGGATGGGGGGCCGGGGCCTGCAGACTGAAGGGTACTGGGCTCAATTCCGGTCAAGGGCAGGTACCTTGTTTGCAGGCTCCGGCCCTGGATGGAGCGTGTTCGAAGGCAACTAATTGATGTGTCTGTCTCTCTCCCTTCCACTCTCGCTAAAAATCAATGGAAAAATATCCTCAGGTGAGGATTAACAACAAGAACAAGAACAAATGTGAGCTCTTCTTTAAAAAACAAAAAACACGTGCGGCCCTGCCACCCGAGGACTAATAAGCTCCAGAAACCCAAAATCAAAATCTCGATTACAACGTGGAGTGTCACCGTCCACCGCCGCCTCTGCCGGCCGTTACAGCCACGGCGACCTCGCCCCTCGAGAGGGCCTGGTCCCCGACACCTGCTCTCCCTTCCAAGACTCCTGGCTGCGGTTTAAATGACTAGTTCTCTCTGACACATCCCGACTCAGGCTACAGAAGCCAGAAGGTCTGGTCGGCCCGGCTGGCGGATTCGGCAAAGTCCTCTTCTGAAAAGCGAGCAGCCTCCCGTCCTGGCCTCACTGGCGTCTTCTCGGTGGGACGTCTACCTGGCGTCTCCCTCTGGTTCTAGCCGGGCTTGGCAAAGGGCTGCCGGTAGGAGCCGAAGCAGGAAGTGGGCCTGGGTTCTGGTCTCTATTCCACTCCTTATATGGTAACTCCCTCCCCTACTGCCCTCCCCACCTGAGGCTCCAGCTGCCCACAGCCCCTCCTCTTAACTCCCGCCCCACTGAGTGGAGGCCTCCGCTCTGGGGTAGAAACAAAGCAATGTGTTTACACAATACTGGAGGCCGGGCGGCGAGAATATACATATTCATATGGACTTGGGGGGGGGGGGCGCTGAAACTGTCAGCGCCTGCAGCCTCCCGAGCGCCCCGGTGGCATGCTATCAATGGAAAAATATGTGCAACTGAGTTTTCACCGGAGGAAGAAGGTCAAGGCTCCTCCTCCGAAACAAAACCGGAGATGAGCCTCCGGACGCTCCCGTCTTTTGCATATGAGAGTAGACAACGCCCCCAACACACCGGGCCAGGGAAGAAACCGCAGCTAAAACGCCCTCCCCGCTTCAGCGCTGAGCAACATCCTTCTCTCAGAGCCACCTTCCTCCATGCCCGTCACTAACTTACAGGGCAGGATCTGCCCCGTGTTCAGACTTGATGCAGATCTCGGATCTCTCCCGCGGGCCATTTCCACGCGGGGCACTCCCCGCGGCCTGGACCGCTCCAGGTGCCGCACCCCCCACTCCCTGAACCGTAGGGATGTTTACACGCCTCCCCGGCTTCTCTGCTCCAGGTCGCACTCCCGCCCCCTACTTGTCGTCTGGGCTCTTTTTAGAACTCGGCCAAATGGGCTGCTCCTATTCCGAGTTGGGAAAGGCGGAGGCCGAGAACTGCCTGTCCCTGGACGCTGCCCGACTGGCACGAGAACATGGGCACTGCCCTGGGCCGGCTGGAGGCAGCCGGGTCCTCCCCCTCCTCCTCCCGGAGGTTCTGCCCCGGGAAGTCCCGCCTGGAGACATCCGCCCTC